TAATAATCCCTTCCAGTAAAATGATTATGAGAAAGAGTAATTTCCTCTTTGTAATTGAAAAAACAATGGTCAATTATACAATTAGCGACCTGTCAGTTTAATTGGTTGTGTGAAAGTCTTGGTTTGACCAATTAACAAGTTATATAATTAATTGTCTTCAATATAACCAATAATCAATACCCAATTAACACATTTTCCCACTTGTGGCCTTCCTTCAACTTGTAAAGGAATAAATCTTAAACTCAATGATCATGATTCTGTTCTCAGAATACTAAAATACTAAAATACTAACCAAGAAATTTCACTGATTAAGCATGAACAAAACTTTTAAGTTTTTATTAAGAAAGGAATTAAATATTTCTTAACTCTTCCAAAATCTCTTCACTGTGAGGTAATTAGTCCAAGACCCAAGAGTAATTACTTGACTTTATGTCACAAACAAGTTGTATACAGAATACAAAATTGTTGTACAAAATACAGAACTTCGCGAGTCAAATTGTTAATAACCAGTTATTATTGTGAGTATCATTAGGAAGTAATAATGTAAAATATTAAAAATATATAGTAAAAAGTCAAGTAAAGTCAATGATATATTTTCACATAAACGTTTACTATTGTACCAGCATAGCTGGATAAACAGGTGAAATTGTAAAATTCAATTAAAAATAAACTTAAAACTAGATAAAAGAAGGTTTACAAAAGCAATTTGATGTGAATTAAATTCAGTTTGTTAGATTATAATAACAAAATGTATAAAAGTATTGCAGATTACCAAGGATATTTAAAACCGCGCATATTTCCTGCATCAAACATTCCGATCTGCTTTACTTGACATTTTCCAACACAAGGAAGTGGGTTTGTTATGTAAATTGACTGATATTGGTCAGATCACAGTCCTGTGATCTGAACTGAACAACCACAGCAACGTGAAATGCTCACTTTCACTGTTAGATAAAACTATTGGACAAACGTGATGATCCGTGACCTCACTTTCTAAGCGTTCACTTCTACGACATGTGTGAGAAAATCGCATACTACTGGATAAACTTTCATTTGTAGCTGTTGATGAGTCAGTCAAACCAGAAAACCAAAAGTTACTGTGAATTAATTTTAGAAACTTTAAATATGACTTTTCATTGTATTGTTAAACCTGAATTGGTTCCGCTTGAGCTTTTTGATGTTTACAAAATAAAAAAATAAAAAATTATTTTCAGCTGAATATTTCAGAGCATTTTAAGAGCAGCTAATGAACGAGTGTAGTGGTCAATAGACTAGTTTAAAAGTGTGCGTAAAAAAGCCCTGTAAACTAACCTTGTATAATCAAGCCTTTTGGATGATACATTTATTAGCAAGTATGATCCATCTTTTGTATCTGTACATACTCTGAAAAATAATTTAAGAATAATCACATAAAATACCTCACTTTTTATTTCGAAAGGCTTGTACATGGTAAGTTATTCAACAGTGTTCCTCCTACTTAGATAGTAAAATGAGTGAACCTCGAAGGTGCCATTCAAAATTCGTCAACAAAATATTGAAAGATGTTGTTTGGGCAATGTTAAATGAAAATAAAATTGTAGGTAAGAAATCTGCTGATTGCTAATTTCGGAAAATGGCTAATCTCAATATCAAGTAATTAAAAATTGATTGGATTAATTGATTGGATTTAATTTACCAATATTGCCAATATAACATCATTCAGAGTATTTTCACACCAATAGAAACTCAATCAATAAATAACAATGAGAAAGTGAATCTCAACAGAAGTCAGGGCGGTTAGGTACCAGAGAGCAGAGAAATCAGACAATTATTGAGGATCAAACAAGTTTTACGGTTGGCAATCAGCTTTCTACATCTTGAACGTTGGTATTCCTGGAGTCAGCTGTTGAAAGTGGATTAGCTGTGACACTAGTGTCGTCTGCTACTCTCTCAACCCCAGGGCTTGCTCAGCATTTCACTACAAGTGCCATTAAATCTGAAGAAGTCACTTTTTCTTCAGAGAAAGTTGTTGAGTAAAAAAGAAACTTTGAATTGTTTCTGAGGAAATAATTATAGTTTCAGGTTTATTTTTAAAATTTGAATAGATTTTTCATACTTTTATTCTATCATATATTTTTAACTGTTTTTCAATGACCTTGATTGACTAAAAAAAGTAAAGAGTCTACCATTTTGACCATGTCTGTTGTTGTTGTAGTGTAAACTCCTTGTTTGGATGTTGTGAAAAGTCATATGAATATTTCTACGGAAAACAAATTAATAAAATTATTTGTTTAACCTCAATGAACAAATATTTTTTCTAAATATAAATTTGTTTAAAATTGTTATGTGTGCAGCTGGTGAACGACATTGGATCCCATTTAAAATGAGAGAAGCCTCGTAGAGGACAAGCAAGATACAAACTGATGTGATGATTATTATGGTTCAAAATTTAATGCAGATTATTTTAATAGCCACAAAATATGTATTTTCATATCACCTGAGTTTTTTATTTGCAAAAATTTAAAGGTTTTACAAAAAAAATCTTTGAAATTTGGTATTTTTTAAATTTAAAGCTGTCTTGTTTAAACTAAACAATATTTAAATGATACAAAAGTTGTTGTTATGTTGAAGTAAATTTAATGAGGAAGCTATTAAAACAAACCGCAGATTTTTAAAAGGCTCAGTTGTCGAACTATATCCATTTTACTAAACCTTACATAAATCCAATATGGCGGCTTTCCGCCACTTCGATTTTTAGTATGATGTTGTGGACCCCTTTGTTGACAAAATCCCATATATTTTATTTCTGTTGCTTTAAGTTTGATGTTGGGCAGTATTTTTACTAGCCTATTAGGGCCCTTTCACACGAGGCCACTGGTGGCGGCCACCAGTTACCGCCTGGGTAACTGCAGTGGATGGTACAGGCAACTGACAAGCCCCTCCACTACAGCCACTGTACAATGGTAGTTGAAAAAATGCAGTCGAACAATGAACATCTTCTCACGTTGATAATATAGAAAAGAAGGCGAAGACACAGGCGTACTATCCCACATTGCTGGGTACTTTTCAATGTCGCAAATTAGATCTTCAGTATTCACGTTACCTCTTATTCTATTCTTCTTCCTTTGTCTTCTTCTTTTTCAGCAACGTCCTCTTTATTTTTCTGATAACTCATTTTTACAAACAAACAATTCAACACGAAAAATTCACTAATTTTTGGCTTTAATCGCTTCGTTAACCGTATATCCGTAATTTTGTAATTTTTACATAAACATTTTTATCTTTGAATTCTTTCAACCGATCTTTATGAAACTTGGTATGTATGTTATGGTCGGAGAGACCCATGTTAGAAAAGAAATTCATCTTAATTCAACTTGAAATTTCAAAATTGCAGCCATTTAAAATTTTAAAACTTAAATTACTAAAAATGGCTGATTTTATGAAAAACTGTCAAGAACACTATTATTTAGCAATTTTAATTCCCTATCAAACGATACCAAGGTACCTAACGATTTTTAGGTAAATGGGGCAAACCTGACTAGTTTAACCTTATTCTACCCCATATTACAACTAAAACTCGTAATATTTGAGTTATTTCTAATTTGATTATTTTGTACTTGAAATTGATTGATAGGGAATTAAAATTGTTAAATAAAAGTTGTCTTGGCCTTTTCTCATAAAATCAGCCATTTTTTTTAAATTTATGTTTAAAAAAATCAAATGGCCGCCATTTAGAAATTTTACGACGCATTCCTTTTCTAACACGGGCCTCTTCTACCTTAACATACATAACAAGTTTCATAAAGATCAGTTGAAAGGATTCAATGATAAAAATGTTTATTTAAAAAATACAAAATGGCAGATAGGCTGGTTAACAACGTGATTTTTGAAAAAATGTTATTCCTGATTTTCTCTTTATTTTGGTTTGGACCAAAGAATCACTATTGTGTCCCCACCTTTTCTAAACACCCTATATAACTTAGTGGCAAGCACCGTGTATATACTTGTTGATTATTGAGAGAAGGTGGGAATGGACAGTTGGTTTGTAAAGCAGGTAAGGTTGTATATTTCTCAATTTCAAGCAAGATTACTTTTTCGAGCTTGAAAACCTTTCTATTTCCATCATCACAATTGTTTTTGCACTGGGAGAAAGAATACAAATAACTTCTGCGACGTTTCTCCTTTACAATTGATGTGTAACCATATTTAGAAACTTCTCCCTGAACTATACACAGGACTACTACACAACTATACACTGTATTTGAAAATCTAAAGCATGATTATTAATGTCAATATTTGGACTGTTCCCTAACCAAAGACATAAAAAATGCCAATGGTATAAATAAACACAAAAAATATCAGCCATTATACAGTATTATGGCTGCTATTGTTGCTAAATACCCTGTAATTGTTGGTTGTGTGAGTGTGAGGTTATGTCACTTAGTACATGGTTTCATGCTCTAATTTGATACAGTAAAAGAGGTGGTTTATCAAACTAAATAATAGTTTTTGTAAATATATATATTTTTGTGTATCTTCAATATTATAATTTTGTTAAAGTTTTTTGCAAGGGAACAGTCCAAAACTAACGTTGACCTTTTTGTTAAATTATTAATTAATTATAGATAGACAAATGGCATCTGGGTTCAGTAACAATCCCGCTTAGCATCAATCCCGGGACCTTCAGATGAGTGATGCGCGATTGCAAGATGTTACAATCAAAACGTTTTTATAGTGCAGGCGAGCACTATAATTATGCTCTGCAATACACAGCCTTATTTTTTATTTTTCCCTTAAAATGGTAGCAGAGCGTGGTAAGAAACAATTAATACAGTAGACTAGTATATGTTACAGATTCCATCAAGTTATCCATCACCTAAATATGATTTATTTTGTTCGCTAGCTGGACGCCTAAGTTTCATAGTCTTTTTTCTGATGATCTACAAGCATACATTGTCTGTTTTCTGATGACCTTCAAGCACTCATAAGCTACGTGACAGTTACACTCTACTGTTACTCACCAGGTACGGCCTCTCCGTTGAACTTCATCTCCACCAGATGACTAAGGGCCTCGTGGGGTACAAACGACGCCAAGAACCTCTGACTGCCGAGGTTACGTACAAAGCTGGTCACATGACCTCCGTTGACCAGAATCTCCAGATTACCTGAGCCAGCTCCTGACCCGTCAACTGTGGGAGTAAACCTCATGTTAGTCATGGAAGAAGACATCCCCTCTACAGTAAGCAGATGTAGCTGATTTTAAAATTTGAATACCATAGTTAAGCGAGTTACTCATAGAGTATGCTACAGACTAAAATTTTATTTTCCTTAAATTTTAGTTGTGATATGACATAAAAGATGCTAAAGTCTACGATAAGTTGTCCTTTTATTTTGGTTAGGTTGAAATGTTGGCATATTCAACAGAAATCAACAATTCGCATCCAGCATACTCTGTCAGTGGCTTTATAAATTTTATCATGGGAATATCTAGAGTTTTCCACGGTCAAAGATTTTGTTAACACACAACTTAACAAACTGCTATTGTAAGTAAAAATGTCCCAACATATATAGGTGTTTTCTTATGAAGAGAGAGTATTCTTGCTGTGTTGTTGGATACAAGTAGTTTGTCTCTAGATAGTAACCCTTGCGGTGGGCTGTAAACCACCGGGACAGGATATCACTGTACTTCTTAAAGCCATTGTTGATAAGAAGGGTCTGAACTCGGCCACTCATGCAAACAGGACGGGTATTCTACACTCTAACCACAAAACAAGTCTGGCTCCGATGATTGTAAATCATCTCAATGGGTTATGATGCGTTCAATAATTATCAAACGCAAAGAATGTTTAATTGTAAGAACTCAAAACAGTTGTTGTAACCTATTATAATATAGTACATAGGTATTCAGAGAGATTGACCTGGACTCTCCCTATAGTCAGAACCAGAACAGTTAATCAATCCAGATCAGGAGTAGGGGGATTGAACTTTACTCAAACATAAGTATTAAGTATGCATAACAACATGTAATTTGGTAAACATATAACAGATAACTCACTTTCAAACTCCACAGGCTGTCCCACAACTCCGTTAGGAATCCTTCCGACTTTTATGGCACAAGCGTCATAGGCATGGCTCCTGTGGATCAGATTTAGCACTACGTAAGTACTTATGATTGTCTAGTAAATATTCAAACAATTAGTTAATTAATGAGTTTTACCATACTGACTATATGAGAAAACAGTCTGCCATTAAGAAGTGATCCTATCTAGCTAACACGCTTGAGATCATCAGGGTGAAACTGTGTAACACAACGTCAGGGATGTTTCACTACGGAAATGTAATTATATGTGACCGTAAAAGCCTTATATCTAGTGTAAGTTATTGTATCTTACTAAACCGTGGTCCTCAGGGTGAATCGTTAACTCCCCATGACTGTGTAATCAATTAAGTGTGTCTGTAAAAGCTTTATGTCTAGGGTAAGTTATTGTCTCTTACCAACACTATCGTGATCCTCAGAGTAAAATCAAGTACCACCATGCCTGCAGGGTTTTCTACTCTAACATGCAATTAAGTGTAACTGTGGAAGCATTCTATCTAAAGTTACCTGAAGGGAGCTCCGATGACTCTCTGGTCCTTCACCTTGACGTCAATGGCGTGCTCTCCCACCTCCGTGACCGTGAAGTAAGCCACAGCTTGCTGACTGGACGACCTGGTCATCTTTACTGGCAACTGCTGCTTTGACGGAGCTGCATCAAACAAAAATATTCAGAAGTCATTCTACTAAATGTTCCCTTAACAAAAATGCTTATTTCAAAAAGCCTATTTATTTTTATCAATCTATTTACCGGCAGGGCAAAAGTGCATCAGTATTTAAATATAACAGGATACAAAAATGGTTTGTTACTTAAAATAGATATTGTTATTGAGTAACTATTAAATTAGAAGCTATGGTACATTTTATCCATCTTGATTAGGAAAAAAATATGATATTTTAGGAAATTTAAGTTCCAAAGCCAGTCTTCAAGTAAACAAATGCATGAACACAATAGGTTGAGACGAGTCGATTCTTTTTGCCGATTTCCCCCATGATCATCTAAACAGGGACCTTTGTATCAAAACTCTAAAGATGTACGGTAGCGGTAACCCTACACTATTGAGCCATAATTATATCTACAGTACTCTAGGTACAACTTTGTTTCACAGATATTTATCTTGAATCGAGGAATATTTTACATACAAGCATAGAGAAGTAAGGTACTACAGAGGAAACATTCAATGGTACACTTAAGTGGTGTCTAGCACTAGTCGCTGGTGTCTAGGACAAAGATCCGCACCGCTCATCTAGCCCTCATGTACTACAACGCTCATGGTGGAGAAAGACCCTGTGCCCTGTGCGATAGGAATTTTTACACAGTGCTCTCAATTCGGGCTCTTCCTCGCTCTTCACAAGTATATTTCCGGCACAACATACCAGAGCTGAAAGTGCACGCTCGTCCCATAAGCGTGTTTTTCCTCTGTACCTTACTTCTCTGTGATACAACACACTTAAGCATCTTTCCTCATTAATTAAGATGTTTGCCAAAACTTGACTGGAGACATTTGGTTTTGTTTATAGGATCAGTATCAATCCACTTTGTACTATTGATAGAATTAACAACTAGTTGTCAAAATAAAATGATACGTATGAAAATACACACCAGTAACTGTGACTATGATCTGAGACAGAGGGGCATCACTGTGTACATATAGAGTTGACGCTCTGTGTAGTGGCAACAGTTGTAGAGCATCACCTGTCACCTTCAAATCTGCAACATAATACAATATTTTGTATGATCGCCAAATTAAAGTATTAAAGTATTAATACAATAAAACATCAAACTCAATACACACCTGTCATATAAACTTTGCCCTTGTGAGACTTCAACCATAATACTGTAACTGTTACTTTATCATTTTTATTACAGAAAAGTATTATAGGACAAAAATAAAGTAGGGAAAAATAAAGAGGGAAACAAAACAAGTATTAGGAATTGGGCTGATGAGAGAATGGAGAAGGAACCCATTTTGGACCAGTTACTTCTCAGGTTTTTGACCTGAGTCACTATGTGACGCTGTGCTGCTCGAGTGCATTGGGTCGTCTGTGACAATTTTTTTAGTAATAAACCTTGATTCTCAATAACAGTAAAACAGTTTGATAATTCCTTTTGGTAAAAAGGTGAATATCACTAGCAATGACCGATTTTGAAAATTTGTTTGCTGTTGAAGAAGTCAACCACAACCACACAACTATATTGTAATGCTGCAGCAGACTGCATATTGGGATTCTATCCTGAATAAAACCACAGTGCACAAGTGGTTTTTAGACTTAAAAAATAGAAAAATAAGAAAATTCTGATAGTTGTGAGACTTGTGAGGACTTCAAACCTGATCAGCATTCTCCTCAATTGTAAGTAAAGCCGAATACGTACATGAACAAAATTAACACCCTTGTTAGTTAGTGAAGGAAGGTTCCTACTTGAATCATCCATCAGCTCTGTGAGATGATTGAAATATCATGGAGTTCAGTTCAAGGGATTTTATCTGAAGATTTTCATATGAAACGGGTTCCAGCAACATTTGTCTCTTGAGTTCTCATAAAGGAGCAATGAATGAAGAAATTCAGGATTTTTTTAGTTATATTAGCTTATCGCCTTAATGAGGACCATGATTTATTATAAGGTGATTACTGAAAATGAGTTATGGATTGAAGACAAAGTGGTAATCAAGCCACCAGAGACGCATGACTCTTCCAGTAAAAAAAGCCTCACCAAGTAAAATCAAACATAAAAAGATATATGTCATATGTTTCTTCTATTGAAGAAGTGCTGGTCACACAAAATTTATTTACCCAGGTCACAATGAAAACCAAAAGTTCTACTTGGAGGTATTGAAAAGACTGACAAGAGAATATCCAAGAAAAAAGAGCAGATCTTTGGCACACAGACAACGGTTAGATAAATAAATGACAAATTCCGGGACATTGCAGTGGCCACTCCTGAATTGGTTGAAATGTTATTACATTTATAATGACTTACCAACTTCATTGTGGTTGTTTTGTGTTTTGTTGAGGGCGTCCCATGAATCCCTGCGTTGTTGGTTCAAGCTTGACAACATAGCTGAGACTGAAAACAAAATAGTCAATTAGTACTATGGTCAGTTAGGGACACTAGTATATGAGGATTCATTTAACTCCGGCACTCCAGTAATCCGGCGTCTATTGACTGTTGTGGTCTTCCGTGACAGCGGCAAAATTCTGATTATCTCCCGCGGCCATCATCAACGTGTGTACACATCATCATCATCAACTCCCGCAGGCACGGAAACATCATTGTCGTCTTGCGCGATCGCGGCAAAATCATAAACAATTTGTATTTCTCGCAAATAATTAATTTTTAGTTGGCATACATCCTAGGAATTAATCACTGAATTTTAAGTTGACTTTGCTGCTTTTTGTATGAGCATTGAAATGAACAAAATTAGTTTTTCGTCATACTGCAGCAAAAACAGCCGTTTTTTTATGCATGAGTTGCGGGTCTAAAGTAGCATTTTTACACTCTAGGGAGTAAAAATCAGTTGTAAAAAAATTTACAGTTGTAAATTTCGATTGTGGCAATCGCATCGATCAAAATTATTTATCAATTGATTTATTAGATAAGCCTATTGTTGTCGATTGCTCGACATATCAATGGTATTAAATTGTCAATTATCAAAGTCAAAATAAGAATAGTCAATTTCAGTACAACATTTCAATAACTATTTGTTTACCATCATTAACAATATTAAAATATGTGATAATTAATCTTCACAAATAAATCATACAGCAGAAATATAAAGATTAATCAATGGTCATACATATATAATATGAAATTAGTCATTAACAGATGGTATAATAACACAACCGTAATATACAAAATAATTGAATCTTACTAAACAGCTGCTTATTTGTATTAGCAGAATTAAAAACAAGCTGGAAGTTGTTTTGAGAGGTTATCTTTACATAAAAATGATTTTGTTTTCTAGCTTTGTTTTTGTTAATTAATGATGCAATATGACGAAAAATATAGTTCACCACACAGGCAAAAAATTACTTTCTAACCCTCGATCGTAAAACTTGACCTCGGGTCAAAAAAGTCACTTTAGGCCCTAGTGATGAAATATACTATTTTCTTTGATTAAATTTAATTAAACTAGTTTGTTTTACATTACTTATTTAAGCTAAAATTTTTGTTTATAGGTTCCTAATAGGCATTTTCATTTCCAATGAATGAAATGGGATCGAAATACGGCCAAAAAGTATAGTACCATAACTAATTAACTATGGTACTGTAGTTAGTTTATCAAATCTAGAAAATACAGTAAAACATACTGTTTGAAATGTTCATCTTGCTGGATCTAGTATAAATCAGTTTATACTTTATATCTGTTATCTGATTACAGATAGAAAATTCATTACCCTGGGAACTGTAAGCCCAAATATACACCCAAAGCTGAACACAAGCAAATAAACAATTATTTAGCTAAGGATAAGATAAGAGAAAGGCTAACTTGTTTGATCAAATCATTGTTTTAAAGATAATAGACATGTTATTGGTACAAATTATGCAATACCATTTTACCCTTGCAAAGATGACTTTGTAGATAAAAATGTTTCATTCCAGAAAAAACATCATATAAAAATAAGAACGTTGAAAGTTTCTTTAAGGCGATTATTTTGTTAGTAAAACTACTATTTTACAATATTTAAAATATATCAAAATTGTATACCTAAACCATAAAGAGTGATTTGATTATCTCCATCAAGCTACAGCTTTAAAAAGTAGACTATTTACAATTCACTTACATAAACTTTTTCGTATTTTGTTTAAAATTTGACCGTGGATGAAAATTCAACCAAAGGCAATAAGCTACTTTTAAATTTAAATTAAAATTCACATGTAAAACCGTTTCAAAGTGACCTTAATCGTAGATTATTTTATTAAGACAGGTGATATAGGTATGTTTCAGATTATATAAATTTTGTATTTATAGTTAGTTTATAGATCAGTAGATTTGAAAAAGTTTTGTAAATTTAAATGCCCATAACTAACAACAGAGTGTCATTTTGTCATTGTGTTTTCAGCATTAGACAAAGGAATAGCCTACCACAACTAAATAAACTATTATCAACTTATTAGCTAATAAGTTTAGTATAATAACTATAATAAACAGATAACTATACCTCTAACATTGGAGGAGGTATCGACAGTGGTACTGTTGAACTGACTGGGACTATTCCTTGAACCTGGACTCCCCAAAGGGCTCGGAGAGTTCCGAAACCCCGGAGAGTGGAGTGGGGATCGTAATCCATTCACTGGCGAACTATTAATCCGAAATGTCGACGAGGTCTTTTCAATAGGTGAACTGTTCACTCTAAACCCTGGTGAAATCTTCTCTACAGGAGAACTATTTACTCTGAATGCAGATGAAGAAGTCTTCTCAAAGGATGATGTTGTAGTTCTGAAGTTTGGTGAGGACTTTTCAACCGGGGATCGAAGTGGGGAAGCTAACGGACTGGTGCCTCGAAACCCAAACGGACTTGAGCTGTGAGAGTTGACTGGTGAACTGACTTGGTGTATTGTGGACGAGTTGACTCTGTTGAATGCAGAGTACCTGCTGCTCTCTGTAAGAAGGGCAAAGGATATTAGAAGACCAAATAGAAGGCAAAGTTGGATCAGTGGTTAAAAAAACATTAGTGTTTAAAATCCTGCCTATCATGAAGTTAACCAATGGTTTCTATTATTTGGTAGCTATTATGCCTGGTGGTACAGAGCCCATCTTAAGGCTATTTGAAGCTTGAGCTCTCCACTGCCACCAATCCAGAAAACGATATAGGTCTCTAGATCGGGAACAATTTTTCCTGTATACCCTTTAAGAGCTGTGCCTTCACCTGTGATGTAAGTTTTCTTAGTCAAACCGTGTAAAATAAGATTCATTAAAGATAGTAGTAACAATCAGTTACTTAATTTTTGGTTGGTTTTCATTGTCTATTTTAAGCGATCAAACAAGAAATTGCAATTTCAGTAATTACGGGAATGAAACTTCTACATAACTTATTATTTTACAACTTACTTGCTTGAATCATGATTTATCATTAGAATTAAAATTTAATTACCATGATTTGAGGAGTTGTACGAGTTCTTTGACGCAGATGAATCTGAAACAAAAAGCAGTAGAGAGTTCAACTGTGAATTTATAAACCAGTTTACACAGTTTTGATTTCAAAGTATATGATTCAATTAAAGGTTAAATGGATTACAAATTAAAAAAAAATAAACGGCAATGCAACAACCGTGTTTAATTACGACACAGAAACATTGCTTTATTTTAGATACTGAAACAGCATATTAAGTCCTTTTAAATCATTTTAACAAGAAAGTGTAAGCTAAAATGCAAAAATTGTTTCCATCCAAATCATACTTGTGTAGTCTAGATAGAATAAAATGAAATGTAACTTGATCACTATTTGCAATGGTTTGTCTCTGATTGTATTTCAATGTGTTTAAAACCTTGTTTTTATGACTTACATCACCTAATGTCATCAATAATTTTGCATTAGGGTAAGATAACCTCAAAGTAAAATGTAAACTTACTGTAACGCTCCATCTTCATCTGTTCTCTAGTTCCAACCCTCAAGGCAAATGGACTGCCTGTAAACAGATAAGTCTTATCATTAGACAAAAGAGGGGTTCTGTTAACATTACAGTGCAAATGGTGTAAAGGTACAGGGATAACTGACGATGCAGATTAAAAGAATGATGATGGAGTACCTGATGACTCATACACATAATGATGAACACCATAGCCTTCATAATAACATGTGTTGTTTATACAAATACTATATTACATACACACTACAAATTAACAGCAGTTCTGGCAGCAAATTTTTTTACAAATAGAGCACTGCTGCTAAGAATAAAGTTTGTCGAAATTATTTATGAGTTTTGTGATTTCCCTAAATATTTTCAGATCAGTTTAAAGTTTAAAACATTTAAATTGAAGCTAACTCACAAAGTTCAAATTTCTCAGTGTTACAAATTAACTGGTACAAAGTTTCCTCCTCCATTTAAGAGCTGTTACTTGCATTCAAAATCAAACAAAAACAATGATAACACTGACCTATCTATTAACTGACTTACATTTACATTACATACATCTAGTTAACCACTACTCTTGTACAGTAAACATTCTGAAGATGAAAAAAAATCAACCATTATAGTAACTTACCCTTGACATGAGCTCCGTTGAAGTACACGTAGATTCGATATTTCCCTGGACGGGTGGTGTGAAGTGACACATTATACAGGTTTTCTCCAATGGGTTCTATTGTGTGCGGCAATGAGTGTCTCTCATTAACAATGTCAACAATAATCTTCCCCAAACCTCCAGTGGCTCTGGCGTCGAGAGTGAAGTCAAATATGCTCTCAGGAATAGCTGGTGTCTCTAGACCAATCAGCTGCAAGAAAATTTGACTTGTAAAATGTGGGAGGATATCAAATTCCTACAGCAGATACAAAATATGACATGATCTTGTAAAGACAAGACATCTTTATAAGTATTTTGGTGATACAGTAACTAAGCCATGTTAAAACTTGTTAGATATAACTTTTTGTAGTATTACATGTGTTGTGATATTGATATTAAAATGTTTGTCTAGGTTTGTAGATTTGCAAACTGATCTTACGTTTTTGAAAACATTCCTTGGGATCAGCCCCAGTTGCTTTTAAAGTTTCCATGTTTTCCTTATGAAGAACATATTTGTTTACATTATGATCAGCTGGATAATTTAATTGCTGTTAATATTTTAGTTGCAATTTAAGGAAACCTGTGCTACAAAAATTTACTGACTTGGTTGAAATGAAATATTTACTATTTAAATTTGGGTTGGCTTTAAATATTACAATGGAAAAAGCGAGAAAGCCTAGAAAATTTGATATACAATAAAGATACCTTAATTAACACTGTGTTGCATTTCTTGAGTAATCATTGAAAGAGCCAGTTTGCAAACTATGGAACTGGAAACATAGGAAAGTCATAGAACACCACATAGTAGAAGAAATAGAAAAAATGTTTTTTTTTTTTATTTATAATCGTTATTATGGACTACGAACGCGGCTATGAGTGGGAAACATTTGTAGAATACACCAAAAACCATGATCAGCTTTGGAAAAATTATAAGATATTTACAAGAAATGTTGATTATATTAAACTGTTATGTACACCGTGAGAATTTCCATAATCTTTGAGTAGACTCTTTTAAAGTCATTGAAAATTAAGGCTTTTATTTGTTTTAAAATAACGTCTGTAATACTTGGCAATTGCCGAGTAACAGGTACACTAGTAATGACTTATTTCTTCACCTGCAAAAACTTTCAACCTGATGACGACCATTCCATGAATGGGATAAGTCAATGCAACATTGACCTGAAGATGTGTTTATAAACACAAAACAGCTGTAGTCAAACAACTACAATCGAGGATCACTTGACGGATACAGGTAATTTAAACCTTTTGTTGTAAAATGGACGTAGTTGAAGTGAGTCACCAACAGATTGCGTTGATTCAAATTACTAATTTTTGGGAACATGCAGGCTCTTTAAACAAGTAAAGCTGATAGGACAACTTGCATCTTTTATGTAAGTAACTCAGTGACAAAAAAATAATGTCTCAAATATTTTAGACGCTAGCCCGATTTGTGACTGCATCACTAAACTATGTTCTATTTAAATAAAAAACTGGCGACGAGTAAAACACACAACCTGTTGTTGATTAAATCTAATCCACGACCATCTGGTTCTTCAGCCAGGATTGTTATCACAGGTGATGATTAAAGACAGCTAATTTTACTTTCAAAACACCCAAAAGCTGTTGTCTTTTCTCAAGATCGAACAGTTCACTCTCTATTACCACTTACCAAACCAAGCAGATATATTATCAAATGATTCAATGAATTTTTGACAAGATTTACTTTCATAAAAGTAAATAATGCCAATATTGAAACATTTACACTGCTCATTATTCTTAGCTAACTCGTGTTAGATGAACCTGATTGTTAGAAGGTACCTTGATGCCGTTAGGGTCATACACGTGGCAGGTGAAGGGTCCGCCTTGTATGAGCTCGCCACTATGACGCACTGCTATGCTCCACTCCCCCGCCTCGTCTGGCTGGAACGTCGCCGTGTACACTCCGTTGCGCTCGTTGACCGGACAGTCCAACCGACGACCAGTGGGTGACGTGGCAATCACCTCTATGTGGCCACTGCGTGCTCCGTTGGAGTTCACCTGTAAAAGCAATGTGTACCCTCTAAATGTAAATACATATACTATCCTTCAGTGCCTACACCATAAGGTAGCTTAACTTTGAGGTTGTGTTTTAAACTGAGCAGGATCGATTCTAGACCAATGCAATTTGCATTGAGATATCTATTAATAATGCCAATGATAGGTCTACATAAGATTGTAGATTGGCAATTAAACAAGTATCCTAATTCAAATTGTATAACTAATTTGAGATTTATCTGGCCTATGCCAAAATTATAAAAAAGTTCAGCCAAAACACAGAGTTACAAGTGTACTGAATCATTTAATATTGCATGGATAGTCAAGGTCTTCTAAAAATTCTAGGTAGGACTTTTACTGTCTATGCAAATGTAAATTTGAAAGGTATCACAAACGCCTTTAAGGGAAAGAAATCAAAGCCAATAAAACTTTAGTGGATATGCTGGGCATCGACCTATTCCCTTTTAAAATGAAATCTAAGACACAAACTTAGTCTATAGTAACACACACCCAATCCAAATTACACAAATCTAATGGCTGGATCATGATTAGTGTTGAAAGAACCACCAGCCCCTACAGGTTTTCCTTTGCTAGCAGCTTTGCAGCTTCATGGACACTTACCAGGACCTCGACGATGGAGCCGATGGCGCAAGGCTCCATACCAGAGCCCGAGTAGTGGATGTTGGTCAACTCAGGCATGGCTCGGATGTGGAAAGGACATCCCTTGACCACATCTCCTTCATTGTACACCACAATCTAAAACATCATTCACTATAATCGGTCATCAGTTTAGATGAAATATTATCTTTGTAACATACACAAAGGATCAGTATTTAAATGATTAAATAAGCTTTTCAAATATTAGATAGGCTACTTTGATACCCATATATCAGCAGGACACTAAACTACTCAATCGTGTGCCAGTGTGTGTGTAAATTAAGGTATATTTATAAGAAGAGGATGAGTGTTGAATGAATGCTTTGTTGCTGAATGTGAATCACCTGGCTCTTTCAAACTTCAACTCTTCAAACTAGCCAGTTTCAAACTTCAAAAAAGTGCTTGAAAAGTATTCTGCTGGCAATTTTCATTTTACAACAAAACCACTTAAAATAAATATGTAAAAACTTTTGTCAAAACTCATACCTGGTGCATGCCAACATGTGTTGGAATGAATGTTCCTTTGCCACTGATACTGTCGAATGACAATCGACAGTCAACTCTCTGTTGCTCAGGACCAACGACTTCGACAGTGATGTTGCGACTGTCAATTTCGTCACTCAGGAATTCTATCTTGAAGTGGGTCTGCAAGTTGAAATATTGTTATTATATTAATTAATAAATGAGAACCAAAGTTAAATAAACATTTTTGCATATCCTTTAAGGGTATGAATAACTGATTTTAGTTTTACTTTAATGTAATCAGAGCTGGCCTTAGGCATGTGCGAAAGGTGTGGCCGCTCAGGGTCCCTCACCTCAGGGGGCCCTGAGGTTTATTTTGCTTTGGGTGTAAAATAGAAAAAATTTGAAACATGTGAATTTCTTGTCAATTTTATTAAATAAACGGTATCAGCAATCTGACACATACTTTCTCCCATTAGCTTTCCAACAGCCCTTATCATGGGCAAGCAGTGGGAGAACGTATGTATTGTATTTTATGGGGTAAAATCACAAAAGTTGCAATAACTCTTTTAAACTGTAATTTTCACGACAATGGAGGTTGTAATATTCTGTTTACAATTATAAGAACCATAAAATACTAATTAATAATTTTTGAAAATATGAAATTGTGACGTCTAAGATTAAAAATTCTACTAAAGTTTACCGGTGTGTGTATCCTGGTAGTGTGAGTATCGCAGCCGGCCGCCACAGTGAGAGAGGGTGCCGTGCGAGGAGGGATCCACTGGAAGTGCGCCGCGTACGCCATCACACCGAGATGTTCAACGTTGCTGTCCACCATGTCCTTGGCCCGTAGCAGTGGCTCCACACCGAGCTTACGACCGGAGGTAATGCCTGTGGCACAGAGAATACATGTGTAATACATTAATCATGCTTTTTTCTTTTATGTAAGGATGTTTATTGAACTTTTTTTCTGATCAGGAATCATTTTTTTATTAATTTGAATTCTGAAAAAGTCCTATACTTGGGTGGAATATCTATGTTACATTTTGTGACCTGTTTGTGAATCCATATGACTTTAAACTCAATTTTTTTCTTAGATATAAGCTTGCTATAAACCTATTCCTTTTCTAAAGAAAACTCATTAATCATATCAGAATCAGAATCAGAATCATCATTTATTGTCTTTCAGCATTACATACATGCAATAGACAGTGTCATTTTACATGCAAAATAAATAAAAAATACATAACATACAATTTGTTATGTAGGATGTTTCTTCTATTTATTGCCTTTACAAAACTATAACCTTCTACAACATTACCTAAAATTCAAAAAAGGAGGTTAAAATAGTTAATAGTGTCACTTTATAGGCTAGCTTCAATATTGATATAAACTTATTTCACATTACTAAACGAGCCCTCCCTTTGATATTTCATTTCAAGACTCGTAAAAAAAATTTAGCTGTAAAATTATTTAGAAAATTGCTGGAATTTTAATTTTAAATTCAAAAGACCTATCTTGGTCCCCAAAGATAGTTTAAATGTTGAAATAATAACTTTATTTAGCCATTCCAGATACTTAATCAAGGTAAACCCTCGTAAAAATATTTTCAATTTTAATAATTATTGTGATTGATCAACTACTTAAGCCACATCTTCCTAAAATAACATTAATAATAAGCTCTTGAGAAAATCTTATTTAAACATAACGAAATACATAGCTTTATTTTCATAGGTAGTACGATATTTATACCCATTCTACTGAATTTAACATTGAGTTTATGTTTGGCAATGAGAAGATATTTACTGACCATTGTTCAAGTTGGACTCCCAGACGGTCGGGTCGTTGCTGTGCTGATATCTAGCCGGAGCTCCTAGGGAAGACACGAGGTCACACAGAACACTGCCGTCGTTCCAGTCCCTCTGTAGACAATACATTGTCATTGGCACGACACATGAATAAACATCACTTGACAGTTGACTCACACCTGTATGTCACCTATTGACTTATTGGAGGTTATGTTTGTCAATAGTAAAATGAGATTCAATCAATCATTTTTTCATTCAAAACGTACACATTAAATTGTACATGAATGCAACTACTTTGTTATAAGAGACAAAAAGAAGGCTTAATGTGTTAGGAAAATCTCAGTAACTATACAATATTTCCTTACAAAAAAAAACTTGTTGCAGTAAAAATCCACACTAACTCGACAGCTGGTTAACTGAACAGTCCTTGTAACAGTCAACAGCTGACAGGGCGCACATGTAGCTGGCTTTGTCTTACTGTTGTGTTCTACTTTCAAGTTTTAGTTGTTAATTATTCAACATTTCTTAGAAGATTGTTCACTTAATGTGTAAAAATACTCATGTAAGTAATAAATTTATATATGTAAAAATTAATCTGTTATGTATTCATTTATTAAAACTAATATCCATTAAAAATTTCAATGTTCTTGATAGTTTGACAACCTCCGAGTCCACAAATTGTCAAGTAAGTGAGGTTTTACTGCACAGGTTTTTGGATTAAGTTACGTGAGTAAGGCTAAATAGTTGGAACATCTATATATAAAATCCAATGAATGTTTGTTTGTATGTATGTATGTTTGTTTGTCCTTTAAGGACTCCGAAACCGATCAACAGATTGTAATGAAACTTTCAGGAATTATTAAGCATTAATCAAGGATGGTTTGTGTGAAGTTTGGTACAGATCCGTCAAAAGGGCTCCGCCCCAGTGGCTCTGGAGTTTCCCATGTTAACCTTATGAGTACTCATATTTAAATGGAATTAAAGAATCTTAACAGCTGGAACAACTAAGCAATTTGATTCTGCGATGTTCAATAGCATTAAAAAGTTAATAAGTTTACCAACAGGGTGCAGCACGATTATTATTTTTTTTTATGACAACAGCTAATTTGCAGCCAAAAGGTGAGTGAGCGTAGCGAACGAACTTCTACCAAGATCTTGAAAATGAACAAGCATTTGACATAAAACCACATTAGGACAGGACAATGTCTGTCGGGCCAGCTAGTTTTTTATAAAAAAAGATTCTGAATTAGGATAGATGACGTTGAAAATTATTTTTCAACCAAGAATAAAATTTACGGTTGTACAAAACTTAGTTATCTATGACGCAAAATATTTTGATCAATGGAAGTACAGTTCAAGCTGGTGGAGAAGAATAGCATTAAATAAACTTTAGGCCTAATGTTTGCCTCCAGCGATCTTGCTAAAAATATGCACCATATTAGCTCTGAAATGAGTAAAAAAAAGGATCATAATTGCATCCCTATAAAATATTTTGCAATAAATAAAGGTAAAACAGTATCACAGAGGATACTTAATTTCTACAATCACAAATAATCACACATCTTTCAACAGTAACCAAAAGTGAAGGTTAGCTCAACTTACAGTGAAGTTGGAGACATGTTTCTCCTTAAGTTGTGAGTTGACCCAGCGAAGAGTCGCTCGGAAGCCGGGACTGTTCTCCTTCATGAAGTACGACAGGTAGGTCATACCAGACAACTCGTCAAGGAAGGGCGACGCGAGGTACTCCGGTTCCAACACCATGGGAACTCCAAACTGAGCGCGGGCCAGCTCCATGGCTGTGCGGCAGTTACGAACGCTGCGGAGGAAACATGTTCAAGTAAAGAGGAATGCTTGAAATCATAAACACCGTAAATCTGATAGGATAGATGCTGCTGTTCATCAGGTATCTGAAGTTGCACTGGCTCAAAAGCATTCAATTGTGCGTGAAAAGCCCACACAACAGGGCTGTTGCACTTAGAAGCACAGTCCACCTTTAATTGTCCGATTTAGGACTGTGTATTGTAGTCAATCAAAACAGAGCAACTTGTAACAAATATCACAGAAATGTGAGATTAAGTGTTTACGTGGGTATGTTATAAACTACGTGATAAAAGGCCTGAAACACATAGTTTTTAAAAATACATCCCACTTAATCATCTTCCCCACGCAGAACGTCTTAATTTGTTCATTGTCAAACAGTGTTAAGTCCTTTTCTTAATTCCTTTAATCACGGCTTTCTAGAGACACTCGTTTGGGTTGAAATATGTCCCTATATCTCAATGATTGATATCAATTAAATAATTGATATTTTAATGCAACGTGTTACAAGCCATAACTGACTAACAGCTTAATGAAAAATGGAAGCTTGGCCCCAAAGTACAAATGGCAACTCACTTCAGTACTTATTACAAGAATGGTCAAATTCACCATTGCATTAAAAAATAACTTTTACTTTAACATTCATGTATCCTTTTTAAGGATTAACTATTAAAAAATAGAAGGTGTGTGACCGATAATGCAATCATACCGGCTTAATGGGAAATCCTACAAAATTAACATGTGAATTTCAAAACATATCCTTGAATACATACAACCGTAAAATATTCAACTTTCCCTAACCCATAAGCTAACCGTTACAGTATTATACAGTACGGTACATAAGTAAGCTAAGGTGGGACAGTGAAGAACAAACATTTGCTTGGCAAACCTGGAGTGCTCATTTTGTCTGCAACCTCCGGCAGAGGTCATGCGGAGATAAGCTGAATTGTTATACAGGTATAACATGCAACTACGTAAACTGTGTCAGAATTTATCACCACCGTTATTGTTTGTTATCACAGGGAAGTGGCTAACTACGACATACTTTCATTTATAGATAAGGCTTTTAACTGATTTGTAAAGAATTTTATGTAAGGGTTTGATGTACTTTGTGCAATACTTGTACTTCATGTAATTTTGTTGGAAATGTTACACATAATTCGTTTTTTTTTATAATTGTACTCTTCCTCAAACATTGTTCCAAGGCTAAAATATGTGTCTTTCTGTTATAGAATTGTATAGCTTACCTTTGAATTAATTTGTTTTTCACCATACTGCAGCAAAAATGTCTTGAGTAAAAAAAAAATCAGCTGTACTTTTTTATAACTTTAAAATTTGTCCACATAATTTGCAGAAAAATACAGTCACTGCAATCTAACCACTAGACCAGCTTCATCCCTTTTGCATCCAATGGATTGCCATTTGATTATGGTTATAAAATACTACTAATCTCTCTATGTGTAGCCTTACTAACAAGCAACACAAAGACAGTCAACATTATACCAACCTATCACTGGGGTCCAGATGTCTCCAGTGAGAAAACAAGCCAGGCTCGCAGTAATCCAACAGAGCACTCAGGAATATACCCGAGTTCCAGTCTGTGGTGAAGTTGGTAACTCTGCATTCTGGTAGCACAGCCTGCAAGATAAGTGAACGTATATTGTTTGTCGCATTGAAATTAGAGTACAAAACATTGTATATGTCTGTACTTGTACAGGTTGTTCCGTGTATGGCTTATATCCATAAGGGAAACATATGTCATTTGATTACTTACGGAGAAGCAAAAAGAATTTCACTCGATTTTAACTAAACTTTAGTTCTAAGATTGTACAATTAAAAGATCTTTAATTCTAACCACAGTGAAACTATTTTGGACGGAAAGTTCCTTGTAAGTAAGATCCTCACTAACCTTTCTCATTAGATGAGCATCTAACACAAAGTGAGATCAATCATAAAAATTATTTTTTCCCAATGAAACATGTTGAATTCAAGTTCATTGTGTACTAGTGTACCTGTTGCTCGAATTCGAGCAATTGCATTACAGGCAACTCAAAGATTATGGAAATACTCACAATCTACACAACAGTTAGATATAATCAAAATATTTTGTAAATATCTTATATTTTTTCAAAAAGCTGATCTTGTTTTTTTAGTGTTTTCCACAAATTTTTCCCTCTCATAGTCGCATTAGGTTGTCTATGATAACGATTATAAATTGTGTTCTATGACCTTTTCTATGTTTCCATTGTTTGCAATTCGGTTATTTCAATGATTGCTCAAGAAATGTAGAACAGTGTTAATTCAGTTTTATTTTTAGCCTATATCAAATTGTCCAGGATTTCTCACTCTTTTCCATTCTAATAATTACACCAACCCAAGTTTCGTCTACAGATGCAATATGCCAACGAATATCACCTACGTACAATCTCCAAGAAGTGGTAAAAAAGGCAGAAACCAACCCATACAATAGATATAAGATAACTCCAAAAGAAAAGAGTTACTGTGATAATAGGATTTTCTACTGATTTGGTAATAGAACATATTGCAAAACATGACACAATGCAGAAGAAAATCCATTTTAAAATCAGAAAAACCCATTGCAAATATACTGTACTTCATTTTTAACAAATTCAATAAATCACAATTTAAATATTAACAGCTGTTTCATTAAAAAGTAGTGTAGAATTATGCATATGGTCGTAATGTAAACAAATCTGGAGGCAACTTTAAAGGCTTCTGGGGCAGAGCCCCAAGGGAATTGACCTCGTTCCTCTTTTGATGGCTCATCTACAGACCAAGACCTTTCTTTAGAGACCCCTACCAAGTTTCTACGCTCAGCCGTTCTCTCAAATTAGCTGTGACAAAACCCTCGTTTTCCTCCATAAGAATAACATGGGATGGGAATTCAAAGGCCACTGGGGCAGAGCCCCAAGGGAATTCACAATGTTTCTCTTTTGATGGCTCATCTACAGACCAAGACCTTTCTTTAGACACCTCTACCCAGTTTCTACGCCCAGCCGTTCTCTCTAAATAGCTGTGACAAAGAAAATCAGTTTCAAATTAATATATAGATTAACATTGTAACATTGTAGTAAAAATGTTACAGATTTTGTAAAGACATATCTTTGAACTAAACCCATACCATGTATCTGTAATATTTGTGAACAATTTCAAAGATAGAAGCTTTTTTGTGAAAATAGTCAACTATACTTTTAGACACAATTAGGTATGAGGGTTTATTCAAATGGCAATGACTTGAGTCTAAGGTGAGGTCAGGGGTCAAACCAAGCCCAAACTCATGACATCACTCAGATGAAGGTCAACCTGGTCCAACTGGTGCTGACACATTCCTCGTGTACTACCTCATTCCTACCTACCAGATGTACAGTTATAGTCTACAGCTGTATATACCAAGAGGGAGTATACCTCAAGAATCTCTGGGATAACTAATAAACAAGCTTTATTTGTAGTGTACTTAAATTCTTATAAAATAGTCAAAACTCGAAACTGTTTCATTGTTATCTAGTTGCTTTTTATTGAATAACATTGAAAGTGCGTAGTGGCATTTAAATACTTTAAATATCATTGAGAGTGAGAGAGGGATGGAGAAAGAAGCATGAGTGAAGGTGGGAAGAGTACTTTCACTGGTGATGACCCCTGAAATGTCAACTGGCAGCTGTATGTTGACGTTACATCACCTGAGCGTCTGCCTCGCCATTGGCAAACATCAATACAATGTGTAATAATACCATTAAAACAGACATGATAGACAGAGCGTCTACCTCACCATTGGCAAACATCAATACAATTCTGAAATCTATACTTTAATTAATTAATTAATTAAAAGGCAAAGCCCTCACTGACTCACTGACACACTCATCGCTAATTCTCCCACTTCCCATTTACCTAGGAGGCTGAAATTTGGTACATTGATTCTTTAGGCATTAAATAGGAAAACTAAGTTGTTTTTATTCTGATCGGACTCTCGGGCTCCGCCCCAGTGGCTCTGGAGTTTCCCATGTTAGCCTTATGATTTTTCATATTTAAAAGGAATTAATGAATCTTAACAGCTGTTTCAATTAAACAAGTTGGTTCTGTTCTATGATGTTCAATTGCATTAAAGTTACAATGATTACCATCAGGGTGCAGCACTATTATTTATTTTAATTAATGACAACAGCTAATTTGCAACCAAAAGGTGAGTGAGCGTAGCGAACGAACTTCAACCTGGAGAAGAGTTAGCGTAGCGAACGAGCTAACCTGAAGGCAAGTGAGCGCAGCGAACGAGCTCCAACCTAAAGGTGAGTGAGCGTAGCGAACGAACTTCAACCAGGACGTGATTGAGCCATGCGAACGAGATCATCTTGAAAATTAAGAAGTTAAACGGGGCAAAGCCCGCGGGTACAGCTAGTTGTACTATAATACCATTAAAGCAGACATTATATACAGAGCGCCTGAATCAGGAGAAGATGTATTTCTTTAGACAAAAACTTAACGATAACACAGGGTATGGTCTTTGTTTAGGTTGAAACTAGAATTATGAAGACAGTGGGAGTCCATGCCATTTAAATTTTTGTCGCCATAGAACATCTGACTGTAGTATGAAATAAAAATTATCAGCAGGAAAATTAATTAGCAATGATTGATACTGTGTAGTAGGTACAAAGTTAATACCTAATATTTACAAAGGTCTTTTAACGTTTAAACAACCTTTATTATGCAATGTGTTTAAAATTTTATACTTAATTTCAAATTACTATGTCAGAATTATGTCTAATCTAAAATACAAACAAACTATGCGTCTTAAATCTTTGACTATTAGTACCCAATAGTCAATATTTAAACTCTAAGCCAACTTTTACTTAAATCTACAAACTCTGTAATGAAAGCTGATCAACTGCTTCGAAGAAAGTACTCTAGCTATAAAACTAGAAGTGGCACTTAGTACAAGTGACCTGTTTGTACGGTAACTCAGGACTACAACATAAAAACTGGTCAGTGGAAAAAGTGTGTTGCTCAACGCCTTTAACTGAACACCTAGCGTTTAATAGCAACATTTACTGCCACTAACTCTCAGCGAATCACCTTTCTAGCTTACTGACATACTTATGATGAATGAATATGAATAAATATTAGCTATAAGAATGTTGTAAAATGATTACAGTAACTTATTTTTCAGATAAGGATGTAACATTGAAGGCAAAAAGACATGTGTGACACATAATTAATACTTTTTAATAATTGTAAGTATGGAATGAACGGGGGATGAGAATTGAACAGAATGCTAGAGAAATTATATTTCTAAAAAACCGGGAATAGAATTAGGAATAAAGAGATTGGAAGAAAGTACATGAAGACATCCTAAGAGGGACAGTAGAATAACAAGACAAAGATGGTTTACATATGAGAAGAATGTGAGAAAAAAGAATCCCCAAAATAGTCTTAAGGTGATAGAGGAAGGAGTTGAAGAGGAAGATCTAGCTCCTTTCATTGGTGAGGTGAAGAGGGATGTGATAAAGAAATGAGAGACACAGTTAATGGTGGATAAAAAAGGAAAGTTGGATAGATGGAGAAGATAGGAGAGGCAAAGTCAATGCCTAGACCCATCAATTACAAGAAGAAATCACAGTAGTCAAAACAAATAGAGTCAACAATAAGAGTCTAGCTTTATTATACATACTTGTAAAAGTCAAATACCACTCACTCACTGATCACTATATCTCAAAAACTATAGCCATAAAACCAAAGCCAAAAAAAGTGAGGGATTGGCATGGAGGTTCCAATCAACATCTAGGTGTGCAATAAGAAGCGTTTTCAAGAAACTCCATTAGGGCTCTGCCCCAGTGGCTTTTAAAATTCCCATGTTATCCTTATGGGGAGATTTGTTTACATTTCAACACATGAATACTTTTGAATCTGCACTATTAATTAAGGGAACAGCTGGTTATATTTTATTACATGAAATGCAAATATTTACATTATTTTTGTGGCTTGAAATAGAAGAAATATGTCATTACTGTACATATATGAGACCATGTTTGAAGTGTGAGATTTATCGAGCACTTTAAATGGTCAAGAATATGTATAGACCTGTATAGACCCACTTTCACTCGTGTTTTGAAGGTTAATTTTGCTACACAAAGAATAATTATTTTCTAAATTACAAAACTCTTAGCATTTTTTAGGTTATGCCTTAAATTTAAAGTTAATATTTACTTTATTTGTTGTGTATTGAAACAGTTGATAAAACAATAACAAATATTTTTTGTTTGCATAGGCAAAATCTAAAAAAGATAGTAAACATTACTTTCGCATAATAACTTGAGGCACTAGATATACTGCGTGCGGCCTTGGGCTGCCTCAAGTTAGGGTGGCGAGGACTATAATGATAGATTTTCGCAGGTGATAAACATGCATCGAAAACAGGTCCTTTCACAGTAGTGTAGCGAAAAAGTGTTTTACTGCATAACACATTTTTAATAGTTAAATGAAATAAATCAAATTAAATAATAATAAATTAAATTAAATAAAAAACAAGAAGTCTAGAAATACTCAGGTTGAACGTAACATTTTAATTTTTAAATTTTTGTGAAGGAAGCTACGACGGGTTTGCTAGTCTTATTCATAAAATATACTTAACTTAAGTAAACATTCTGTTTAGTACTAACTAATGTAGAACAATATAGGTAGGATTCATACCTTAAGCCAAGCCAACATGAGTTTCCGTGGAGGGAACTTGGACCGTCCGATCTGGTAGCGGACAATGAGCGACCAGATCAATCCAAGGATCAGCTTCAGATTGCCGTTTACTATGTCCACGTTACCTAGAAACATACAATAATTTGAGTACTAGCTGACACACTTATCCTAGTATCATGTAGCAGACAATAAATTACAAATTTACTTATTGAAAGAAAAACATTTGGGCAAAATCATTGACGAATGAAAGAGTTTTCTAACAAAAAACAGATAGAGCAGTAAATCATTAAATAATACACCAAACTAAATATCAAATAGGAGGAGACATTAGTTGGTTTATTACCATCACTCTTTCTGAATTATTTATCCTACTGGTGTAATTTTATCTTAACTATGTTGTGTGGTTTAAATTGAAACCATAAGGTATGAGGGAATAGAAAAAAATTAATAACATATTTATCATTGATTTAAAACAGTTTTTATTTTTTAGAGAAAGATATTTTGTTACAATCTCATTGATAAACAAGATCTTTGACAAGACAAATTGTATCAAAATTGTAAATTTGTTACCAACAACCAGGCACCAGTTTGTATGCACTGGGAGAAGTATCAGTGGTCATACCATGGGCGTCTCATTTTAAAATTTCTAGTAGGTACTTTTATACTTTACATCCATTCAACCACGATTCATCATTCCATGGTATGAACAAAATTATGATAATTAACAATAATTAGAAAGTACAATAATTTAGATTTTCAGTCAGATAATAAATGATACAAACCACTTTTATAATCAGTCACGGGAATGTGCACCTTCATGGTCACTCTGATAGCTAATGGAACAAGCAAAATACAAGTCTGCTTCAAGGTTCAGTTTAGCAATAATTATCAGCTGTAACTGTGAGGAGGATTTGTGGAAGCACAATATTACTTGAGAATCCCAGGTGTTATTAATTGTATGACTATGAGTAGATTTGTCTCTTCTTTAAACACTTAAAATTGTCTGTGTTGAACACACTCCTACATTCAAAGTAAAATAACCGATAAAAATAGGAGAAGCATCATTTGAGGACCAACCAAAGCATCTTACAAACATTTCAGCCATCCTTCTATGTTTTCAGCATTTGATTTAGGTGGGCCCCTCCCACATCTCCGCCCGACAAATAAATGTTTTTTGTCAACAACCAGAGGTAGGAAAATGGACTCTGGTTAATATTTATTGATGCCAAACATCCCATATAGCCAGAATCCATGAGTTAAATATTTTTTTATAATTTACAAGTCAAAGAAGTAATATGTTTTCAGAATTTATTTATTAATTATTGATTTCTTCTCAAGAACCCCAACAAGGACTCTAGGAACATTCAGAATTGCATTGCTAAATACAAAACCATTATATCATTGGTAATTTCCCTCACTATGACCTTGAAAGTGTCTGGGAGTTGTAGCTACTGCCATGGAAGAGTTCACACTATTATATTAATCACTCAATATCACTTTCTTTAAATACCCCCACCATAGCCTGACTTTCTATACATTTGCATAGACATTGCCTCACTCCGAGCATTTAGGCTACTTCAGATTACACTGTATATTGTCTGCAGATAAATAAACGGTTTAACTTTCCCTGTAAACATAATTAATTCAATTTGGCAGTAGAAATTTAATACTTTGTTTACAGCTTATTGTTAATTGGCAAAACTGAGGTTTCGTAAAGTGTTTGTCTTCATTGTTCGGATTAACCTTGGAGAGGATTAAAATTACACAACTGAAAGTGATTTCCCAAGTGAATTTCAACATTAAAAAGGTAAATTGGTTAACTTTTTGAAGGGGGTTGAATAAATGGATGGTAGAAATGGAAAGATAAGGGGTTGTTTAAATTGAATGCAAATTGGACAATAAAACATTGCCTGTTTTCCATGAAGGCTAGCTCCCATGGAGCTTCTGAATCCTAGCTCCCATTAGGGAAAACTAGTACTGACTAGTATCTAGGGTGACAATTGTTCAAAAAGATGTGGAAAGTGTCAATTAATTCTACATCTCATTGAGTTTTAATTGTCTGGTTAGTTGAATGGTTTGCCTTCAAAGCTGAAGGTTGCTGGTTCACTTCCAAGCAAGATTGATTCTTTACCTTGATGCCTTTTGGCATAGGGCTATTGGTGCTTCAGGATTTAACAAAAGTTCTACATTAGATAGTCACAAGACCATAGCGAGAGATTATAATCAAAGGTGGAACCAGTTGTAGGCCCAAAAAATCAATGACCCAACTACAGGACTAACAACATTTTACGAAAATGGAAAGAAAATCGTACAAGATTTGGGATTGCCAAAAAAGGTAGTAAGGTCACACAATTATAGTTTCCATAAGGAAGTTTCATTTTGGCTACCTGCATATATAATTCGTATTAATCAGTCAGCCTACTGTTTCCTTGATAAATTGACCATCTGTTTACCCACCGGACATCATCCATTAACCAGTTTTCTAAATCGCTTCGACTTTGACATATCAAGGAGTTTTCTCTATCGTGTTTGGAGTGATCGGGCGTCAACATCGCCGTATTCGTCCGTCACAGTGACACGGTTCCGGCGGAAGTGTCTTCTGATGGTCAGCTGTTTATTCAGCGCAGCTGGTCAGTTGCTGTCTTCAAGGTCACATGACCATCGCGCGTGACCGGCGTCCATTGTTTTCTTTCTGTTTCTCGGTTCCCAGGCCAATTGTGTTCTTCACTGACATTTTCCGTTTCCAGATTAGTTGAGCGGTTTACAAGAAACGTTGCCTAGACTTAAAAACTTAAGTCTATAATAATAAAACAAGAGAACTAACCAAAATCGGGGGTTTTATTAACCGACTTCCCCACTACCAACAAAAGGAGGAGGTTCTCAATTTGTTTGTGGCGATGTTTTTTTTATTCTATGTATGTTCACCAATTTCTCTGTGATTCTTTTACCGATCAGTGTGGTTCCACCACCAAAATAACCAGGAGAGTTTCTATTAGGTACCTTATATATTATGTTTAAGTATAATATTTGTTTCGGTGAAAAATTCTGAAAACCTTAAATATTCAACATTTATTTTGTTTACATTTGTGCAGAGAAGGCAATAAATAATAACATTCCTACAGCTGTTAGTTGTTATTCCATTTAAATGAAGCTACAGACAATTCTTCATGAAACAGTTGCTTCATATTGATCAATAAACTATTCCTTGCCATGGAGCCTAAATGAATTACATTGAGAAAAATGCATTTTGTTTTGGTTACTATAAAAAATTTATTTTAACGTTTGACCTGATTTGTGTATACAGTAATTCTGTTTTTAGTATGGAATATTCTGACTTACAAAAACATATATGTTTCAGTTAATAGCTGTATTATATTGGCAAATAAAGGTGTATTGTGAAAACCAAAGCATTCGTAAAACAGGTCTAAATATAAATTAAATGCAATTATTCCTTACACGACCTAAGAAGTGTGACAGTGCATAATCGTCAATTGTCTTAAAAGTGTTAAATATTTTAATTACTAAACATGCATTTGCAGATGTGGAATGATTATTGATATTCTCTACCCAGTTACAATATCATATCAATACTATTATGCCTGCTTCGGAAAGTCCTAGAGGAAGATGATTTGCAATTTCCACTAGGCTATATCTTGATCAAACAAAACCACCTACATGGCTCTTGCACCACTTTTAGCTGAACCAATCTTTCATATACATATTTCATTTGCAGATGTGGAATCTATCTATATATTAATAGGCAAGCATGTTTCTTTAAAACCTTTTTTCTCAGCTCGTGTGCATCGTAGGGAAAATCTACGCATACCGTTAGAAAGCTATTTTCCTGTAGGTGTGCAGAATCCCTTTATCTATCTATATATTAATAGGCAAGCATGTTTCTTTAAAACCTTTTTTCTCAGCTCGTGTGCATCGTAGGGAAAATCTACGCATACCGTTAGAAAGCTATTTTCCTGTAGGTGTGCAGAATCCCTTTATCTATCTATATATTAATAGGCAAGCATGTTTCTTTAAAACCTTTTTTCTCAGCTCGTGTGCATCGTAGGGAAAATCTACGCATACCGTTAGAAAGCTATTTTCCTGTAGGTGTGCAGAATCCCTTTATAAATTTAAATAGGCTCAAAGATAAGCGCAAAAAATGAGTTTAAAGATTTGAAAAAATTTACATGGATCTTATGCGTTGCCATGCTGGTGACAAAATAACAACGAAATATAAACAGAAAATCAAAACAAATGGAAGAAACTCCAATCACATGTTTTATTTACAGTGTGGGGTGAAAATAGAGAAGTGAGTACATTACATTTTTGGTCGAGTTTCGACCACTGGGCGACCTCTCGTGTTTATTAATATTCTCTACCCAGTTACTATAACCATAGACAAAAAGAATTAAATATAGACCGTCAGCTGTGCTGCGGTTACCATAGCTTCTGGCGCACACCGCTTGGAGCGCTATGTATTTACGGCGTACGCGCTACGTAAACTACAGCGGTGTGCGCAGGAACCTATGGTAACCATGGTAACCGCAGCACGGCTGACGGTCTATATTTAATTCTTTTTGTCTATGCTATAACATATAAATACTATTATGCCTGCTTCGGCAAGTCCTAGAAGAAGATGATTTGCAATTTCGACTAGGCTATATCTTGAGCAAACAAAACCCCCTACATGACTTACACCACTTTTAGCTGAACCAATCTTTCATATAATATTTTCCAAAGGTACTATACGTGTTAACGACCAATTTTCCACTTTTGAGAGATTTTTTTGTGCTGGTAGCTGAGGAATAACTTTCATATTGTTCCAAAAGGCTTGAGACGTTACTGTATTTCTTTATATAATGTAGAAGTACACCGATTGCAGGAAACGATGATGTCTGACATATCAATGTATCTAGAAAAGACAATTAGTTTTTCATTAGGCATAAGGGAATGGACATTTCTTTCTTTCTTAAGGAATATCTAAAAATGTTTATTTTCATACCCATTGATTATGTAACCTGAACAGGTGACTCAAGCAGTATTAAAATAATGATTGTTCTGTGGAACTTTTGATTGTGTCAAACAGTTTTGCTTATCAAAAATCCTCAAGTAATTAATATACAGTATA